CCCTATGAAATCCATTTTATTTTTTCCTAAATAGTTTTTTCCCCCCAAATTCCATTTTTTCCATTTGATTTTTTCTAGACTCTGTTTTAATTGTTAACTTACATTTTATTCATCAAAAAGAATGTCTAGTTAATTGAAATCATTAAACATACACAATTTAACCACAGTTTATTGAAAGTTTAACAAAAATAAATTTTTTACAGCCCTATGAAATACATTTTGTTTTCTTCTCAAATTTATGTTTATTTTTTACCAAATTCTAATTTGAAACCAAAATATGATTCACAAGAAATGGTAAAATGCTCATGAAGTGACTCTCAGAGCAGTTCTAGAGATCATGTTTATGTGCGAAACTGTGCATCTGCGCCATTCATTCACACAGAAACATGCAGATTCATATTTAAATAGTATTTTGCGGCTTAATATTCACAGACACTAGTCTATAACACATTTTGATGTAAGTGTATGGACCTACTTTTGATTTATTCATCTAAAAATTTTGTTAATTCCGTGACATTTCGCGTTATGCAGTAAATTCTTTTCATGACTGGATTCCGCGATTCAGTGCACGTTTTCCGCATCGCGGAAATCATAGGGCCCTATACGTGCTAGAAGCAACGTAATATAATTTTGCAGAAGTGTCATCACAGGAACAATTTTCCAATGAGCCTGGGTTGGTTTTGGGAAGGAGAGCAAAGGGTGCTTTGCTAACAGAGCTGGTTTTGGGTTAGGAACATCATGTCTGTATGATAAAACTCATTCTGGGAAAATTCAGAAAAAGGGTTACCAGCTGGGCATTAGTCTTCAGCGTTTCGTGCTGATTGGTTGAAGTAGCGCTGTTTTCTTGGAGAGGGTTGAGCTGAACGGTGTCCATTTTGTCTCCCAACTCCCAAATTCCCGAACTCTGGCTTTTCCCTCTTTCCTCTGGATTTTCTGCAGGCCCTCAGCCAGCTTGAGTTCTGCACAATGAAATTTCTTTTAAAACCACATCTGAGGGGCTCTTGAGGCAGGCTTGGCCAGACCTGCTTATAAAATCCTAAATGGACTTTCTTTTCAATCGGCACCGCCTCTCTGCAAATATAAATAGAAAGACCTAAGCCTATTATTTTTCTTCAAAATAAAAGAGAGAGCGGGGGGAGGTAGGTCCGTGCTATATCCTGCCACCCTGGCCTGTGAAAACTCAGAGATCCTTGGGGATAAATCGCCATGGCACCATCCGGCTGGGTTGCTGTGGTCAGCCGGGTTGTCCGGCCACTTCCTGGTCGGGTTGAGTGAAAGTGTTTTTAGTTTAATACGCCATTGAGCTGGGTTGGGAACGGGGTGGCGCAGCCTGTGATCTCAAACCACCGGGAAGGATTTGAATGGCCTTGAGTGGCGGTGAATCACCCTGCGTGACTTTTATTTAAAACCACAGAAAGCCAAAAGCACCAAACCCTCTCTACGTTTATTAAAGGCAACCACATTTTTGGAAAGCTGAATGTATTTTAAATTTGACATTTTATTTCTTTTGCCTTATTCCGGAAAAGCGAATGATTTTTTCGAGGTTGTGCCTCGGGGGGCCCCTGCAAATTGGCACGGCAGTCTCGAGGTTCCCTGCTGGAATTTTAGCTTCATGCAATGCACCGAGATGGCAGTTTATTAAGAAGTTGAGAGAAATGGGCTCTGACAGCTGCAACTGAGAGGACCTAAAAGAGGCCCCGATCGAATAAGGTGGAACGCAAAGTGCCAACTCCCACTTTTCATGGCTGCCATAAGTCAAGGACCCCGTATTGACGTACCGGAGAGTCATGGTGTCTTTTGTACGATGCTTGCGTGGACTCCTTAACTCGAACTGTTTTAAGTTCTTCCTCCACTCCTCTGTATCTCTTTTTCTCCTTTACTTGGAGACAGAGACTAGGGGCTTAAATGAAAAATATGCCTGCCTCTTATCTCTCTCCCAGAGGAAAAGCCAATAAGAGCTGAGAGGCGTAAAATGAAGAGGGGGTAAGGATGCTATCATGCAGTCTTCCAGTGAGGGCCTTTCTCAGTAGCTACTGCCCCCCAGTCACATATTAGTAATGAGGCCGAGTCAGGGATAAGGTTTCCTTAAGGTAGGATAAGACCCTATTTAAAACTACTCGTCCAGATTAGCCATCATCTCTGACCAAGAGTTGAACCATATTTAAACCACATACTGAACTATTAACAGGCTAATTTAGTAAAAAAAAAAAAAAAAAAATATATATATATTTTAATTTATTTTATTGTGTCGTAAAACATAAAGAAGATGTTTTATTATTGTTTTTAATTTATTAATATAGTTTTTTCTGTACACAACAACAATGGATTTATTTTTTTGTTAGTTTTTTGTTTTGTTTGGTTTTATTGCTTTGTAAAACATCAAAGTAGATGTTTTATTATTGTTTATTTTATTTATTTATTTATTTTTTTATGCCCAGTTTCATTTGAAGCATGTGATTTCACTTGGTCATATAGACTTTCAATATCATCCATCATTGATTACAGGTATTTTCATACAAATAATCATCGGCCTTCCCATCAGCATCGGTCAACATTTCTGTGGCACATAATCTGACCCATCATAATTCTTGTCAGTATGACTCATGAATATTAATTAGGCATATAATGTCCGCCCAGTACCAACTGTGAGTTTGTCCGATTGACTGCAGATGTGACTGGTTGAGGCTTGTTCTTGGTCTCAAAACGGATATTCCAGCTGGATGCAATTTGTTTCCTTTGCACTGAAATTTTTATTACCCAAAAAGCAGGGTGGAATAACCTTTGGAAAGTGGTTAATTATAATAGTTGCTACACCCCTACTTGATTTAGCCAAATATGACATGCTCTTGGAACAACATCCTTGTTGGTCTTGGAACAACATTCCCAGCATATTTTAGGGATTCGCTTCGGGTTGAAAAACATTATCAACCGAACATTTGCTTTGGGTTTATAGGGTTTGGGGTAGGGATAGGGTTAGGAGGACTATGTTTGTTTTTCCAGAACCAACAAAGGATCCAGGAGCATGTCCTACATTTTGAAAGCATTTAGCAATACAGAAATATACAATTGTATATCATCAGCTCACTCTCAAGAATCCCAAAAATGCTTTTGTCGTTTCTGATGTGTTTGGAACTCCGAGTGTTGTTGAAAGTTATCAAAGCTCAAATCTTTCCAGAGAATGACATTCATATCATCGTTCTCCCTCTCGGCTTCTGTCCCGTGTCTGGGAGACTCCGAAATAACGCCCCCTCCCAAGCGCACTCACACACACTCCTCCCGCCCCGTGGTTTTACAGCAGTACGTCTGCCGAGGAAATGGCACCCTACACCTGCCTCTCTGGCCAATTAGCTGGTCGGACTCGGAAACAGCAACCTTTGCTCCCAAATTAGGACAAAACCGCTCATTCATGCCTGTGGGAGTTTTGCCTGTGGCATGGGTGGGCAGCTTTTTACCCGTCTCGACTCTCTCATTGAGTTGTGTGCTGTTGAACATTCAAATACAGCTGAACCTTAGGAACAGCATGCAATCAATAACTGATTTTTTTGCACTTTTCTCTCTAAGCGATTTCATGTTTGTTTTTGTATTTAGATTGATTTCATAGGACATTTTTAATCATTTTTTAATGCTTATGGTTTGATCATAAGCTGCTTTCAAGTCTTCCTGGGAATTTCCCACTCACAGTGAAAAAATGAATGTGTGTTCAAGTGACTTTGGTCCGAGTAAATCAGATTTATTAGGTCATTTCTTCCTTTTCTCTCTTATTTTGCTCTTCCTAACAAATACAGGACACTTTTTTAGAGCTAGTGCAACTAAATGAAGGGCAAAGGCTGTGCATTCAATGTGTATTTCATTGTTCTCATGCCACCACATTGTTCAGTGGTAAATAGGTTTGTCTCCTCATAAACTGGCTAATTCATATTTTTCTGGCAAACTTTATTGCCGTTTTTCATCTAAGCTACACCAGTGTTATTTTAGTATCCAAGATATTATTGTAGTTTTTAATTATATTTTGTAGTTTTTATTTTTCATATTTTCTTTTTTCATTTTCATAAGTTTTAGTCATTTTGTTGCTTTTTTGTGGTTTTTATTTTTTAAATGTCTATGTAGTTTTATGAATTTTTATTTCAGTTTTAGTTTATTTCAGTACATCAAATTAAACTAATTGAAAATGAGATGTTGCAACTATATATTTTATTTATTTGTTTGTATTTTATTTTATTTTAACTTATTTCAAGTAATGAAAATGTTTTTTCATGGTTTAAATGCTAGTTTCAGTTTAGTTGACTATAATAATAATGAGCTACACACATGTATATTTTCAAAATTCACTATTACAGCTGATGACTCGTACCAAATTAGTTTCCACCTTGATTCTTTAATTGATCCAAAGCCCCCACTTTTGACTTTAGACTAAATGAAAATGCAAAGTTTGGCAATTATGACATTGTGCACATATCTTATAAATTCACTATTTTAGACATAAGACAGAAATAGATCATCTGTAGGCCAGGTAAAGGAGAAGACATTTCTACATGTTCTTGAACACTGTGTACTTGATGTGCTTTTGTGGTGTGCTGAGCATTGCTTTGTGAGTCAGCTCAGATCTGTGTGTGTGTGTGTGTTGAGTCCGCTGCTGACGTGATTAACCCTGTTTAGTTCCACCGCAGACGGTCGGGGCTCTGTAATGAACTCCCTTATTCACTGGCTAATGATTGCCTTTGATCTTCAGCCCCGAGACCTCTGGTCTGCCTCTGCCCTGTGGCGTTCCCTCCCTCCCTCCCTGTTTCTCATTCTCTCCTCCTCTAACCCACACTCTGTTTCTCCCAACCCCCTTCTTTATTCATTTGGTTCTGCCCCAAAATCCTGCAGTACACAGTCCACACATCATGACTGGTGAGGTGCTCAACTTTGGTGGCTCGTTGCCCATTTGTTCTGAGTCTGAATGCCTCGGTCACGTTTGATGTTGTTACAATATCAGTTTTTCCCTCTGTGTTTTGCAGTCAAATAAGGTGCCGGTGGTCCAGCCGTCCCATGCCGTTCACCCCCTCACCCCTCTGATCACATACAGCGACGAGCACTTCGCCCCTGGCCCACACTCGGGACACCACCCACAGGACATCAACTCCAAGCAAGGTAAACGCCTGCAAACTGCACAAATACACTACTGTTCATTGCAAACTATTAATGTCATTTAAAATCACAATGACTTATAGACACTGCCATTGGTCAGAAAACAGATAGTCCCGCCTCCAATCACGTCTGTTTATGATTCTCAGGGAAATCAATGTACAAATGAAATGCTTTTAGTTGAGTCCGCACATTAAGTTAGGATAAGTAATTTAACATTTACAAAATGGAATTACAAGTAGCATTCGCATTTATTGCATTTTGACATTTTTGAGTATTCAGTGGGGAATTACGTAGATTTTTTTCTCTGGGATTTGAGTGAATTGAAATGTAGGCTCTGGTTAATATTTTTTGATTACATCCACATAACAGAGAATTGTTTTGGATAGGCAGAGAGGAAGTTATTACTTTAATG